CCTGTGCACGAACGCGAATTCGGTTTCGTGTAGCTGTTGAATCCACCTAATGCTCATTGTCGTCAAGGTTGCAATGCTCCAGAATATTCAGTTCATCATCTTGCCTTTCACTAATATTTTCTCGTTGAAGCTTTGGGAGAGGGTGAAGTAATACTTGGTGTGAGAGAAAGTGTGCATGTTCACAGCTAATCCAAAAACATCTGGGATTATCGACGTTCCCTAAAAGGGGGTTAGGAAAAGGTAGTATACTCCACTGATGCGAACTCTGAGGCACCGTGGAAGAGGAACAGATGCATCCATCTCGAGCAGAATTTGGATAATGCAGTCAACATGCCCACCAGCCGTCATGTTCAGGACAATGTCGCTCCAATTTGACAGGCACATATTCCCCGGTTTCAGATGCATTCGATGCCCACCAACATATTTACGTCAAGTTGATGTCATCCCCAGCACGGGAAAATGAATTTCGGCCTAGTTGCCCTCAAGAAGTTTCTCCGTGTACGAAGACCCCCAAGTGCAACAAACTGACGTTGAGTTGCATCGTTTTAGGCTTCATGACTTGTTCTGCACATTGGACCATATGACTGCAGGCTGACCAGTAATGGCCCTTGTCAACCATACTTTCGGCTTCCCGGTGAAAGGAAGTTCAGATCACACGGGATTCAATATTCAAGGTTTGGGATAAGGGTGTCAAGAGACATAATAGCCCTTATTGACTCCCGGTAGAGGTCGAGCGCTCGTTGTCTCGTTGTCCTGGTCTATCACGTTCTCTGGGATGTTGCAGTTATGCAGTTATTGCAAAACTGCATCATAATCTGCTTGCTTTTGGCTTTCATACGCTCGTGCCCATGGATACGACATATGTTTAGGGTTATCTGGATTCTTTCAGGAATCCGAATCGCCGATTATACTCGTGTTCTATGGTGAACACACGATTGTTGGGCCAGGTGCATTACCGGTGACTTGAATGGCAGCCGACGTGTTAATACACCCTGAAGGCCATGATAAAGTTGGAGCTGCGAGGGGGCTATCGTCGGCAACCGCGCCGCACCGAGCCCCCATCGTTTTTAAAACAGCGTGAGGTGGGATGAGCAGCCTCAAGCGACCCCATGGAACCAATCATCAGGAGACTGGTCACCTAGAGTAATGGGAAGGACGAATCAGGTGGACCATTTTACGTGTCATCATGGCTGTGCTCTTGTATCACTTTGGAGGTTACACGTGAAAGGACGATCCTAGGTCCGTCGTGGCCTGAGTCATCTCTCGTAATGGGCCGGACGATGGACAAAGACGTGAAATTGATTAATTCTTTGAGGAAAATAAATTTATGTGGAACCTCAAGCATGGCGATAACTTCAAAGCATAGGTACAGTCGGCGATGTGTTGAAAAACTTAGGTCTGGAAATTTTCCGGCCTCAAAAAAAGCGAAGAAAGTAACTAGTGACTGCGACTATCCTTTAATAATGCATTTTCAGCCCGTGACAAAAGCGTGGCGCCTTGCCGAAGATGAACCCATTCATATATTCATAAGCCCTAATTTGGGGGGAGGGGGGGGGGAAGAGGCTCGAGCCCCTTGAACCCCCTATAAATCTCCTCTTATGCTTCCATTAGCTGCCAAGGGGCAGCTAATGGAAGCATAAGAGGTCTACCCAGCTAAGAATGTAGGCCCGACTGCTGAAACCTCCTTTAGTAAGTTTCAAGTTTAGTACAGGCGTTTTGAGCTTCTGTGAGTTTTTCTACAGGCAGTACGAAGTACCACGAAATTCTCAATAGATGACAGTAAAATTCATTTCGAGTCTCATATCGATCACGTAAATATAACGGCAGCAGTAGCGAGCTGGAAATAGAAAACGCGTTTGCGCGTGAATAGCAATGAGGGCATTTCTTTCGTTTGCGCATTAATGCCAAATTTAAATGAACTCGTATGGGGGAAGAAGAGCCTTTGTGTCGGTTGTGCAAATGCAAAAACCTCATTTAGGGGAGATGAAGGGGTCTTCAAGGTAAAGAGTTCGTTTCCCCCATAGATTCTTTAAGGACCGTTAACTAAAGGAGATTTCAGGATTCGAGCCCGTTTTTGCTTCTGCTTCTTGTTTTTGTTTCGTCGATAAATATATCTAAACAATTCTCGAAGCTAACGACGACGATGGGATTGTCATCAACAACACGGCGCAATACTTTTTAAAATTATTATTGGAAAATTGCAGGTGTACGGGACGAAGTGTGAAGCGTGCGGGGAATCGATTGCAGACCATGAAGGGATCGATCACGGGACTGACTCATGGCACAAGTCCTGTTTCACGTGCGGGCGATGCAACAAGAATCTATCTACCCATAAAGCCCCCAAGTTGAAGTGGCACGAAAAGAAGCCCTATTGCAACCGTTGCTATGTCCTCTCCTTCCCCATGGAACGCTTACAGGACGGTGCCTGGCTCCACAGCAACCCCTGCTATTACTGAAAACCGTTCATCTCTTTCCAACATCGACTTACTTTCCTGTTCTAAGTCCTTATCTCGATCGCGAATTATGGAGAGTCAAGGATTCTATCATTTCCAAAGAATTCTCCTCTAAATTCTACGATTGCTCGGATTCTGTCTTTCATATCCCATCATCCGCCCAGTTGTCTTCCTATGTCTTCCTATCGATATCCTTGACTTAGGGACTAGGAGATCCATTTGGATCTACTGGAATCAAGAGAGAGACGATCGAGGAAAGGGCAAGCTACCGTCTAGCAACGTTACAATCCAGGGCTCAACCAATTAGATTCATCCGCGGAAGCTATCAAATCTAAATTTACAACTCTCACTGTTCGTTATACATGAGAGACAATTGTAAGGGTTTTTCTTGTGACACGCTTGATACGACCTGAAGCGACGCCACGGTGTCTGCTGACAAGAATACCTGAAATCTGTTGAGAAAACAGATGTCATTCAAAGTACTTCATTTATGTAGTGGATCCTCAGTTACATTGCACAGCGCGTCAAACTCAAGCTCCACTAGAATAAATTCCAAAGCACTAAAGGAAGTCTCCGCAAAATCAGTGATTTCATCGTATGAGTTCCCGATGTTGAGTGGCATTTAAAAGGTCTGCAGATTCATTCCACCTGTTCTTCCTACAAAGGAACGCAACAAGGTTTTGGACAGCATTCAGTATTGCATAATCGGTTGTCGTCTTTATTTGATGAAGTGTCGCAGAGAAAAGCGGTGACTCCACCTAAATGTTCTGATGCCATCAAGACATTCCAGGACAACTGATTAGATGGTTGCAGAATGAAATAGGGCTATATCGAAAGTTGTCTGAATTGTTTCCGTTGAAACTTTTCTTGACACAATCGGTGCTTGTCACTTTAATCAGTTCCGCTCCAGTTTTCGCTTGAGATGGAATCTCTCAAGCTCAGCCAGTCAGATGAGTCCTACATGGCCCTCGTCCAGTCCGGAATCCATGAGACTGGGTTCAGACCTTTCCTGCTCCTGCAAACCAAGCTAGAATCGTTAAGATTAAACAGTTCGTCTAACGACTCCCGACGTCTAAACTGAGCTGCCAATGGCTAGATCCACGCAACCTACAATTGCCGAAACGAGTCAGTGAGACTTGAGAAGTTGAATCCAATGATGGTGGCTTATCGAAACGGAGCCCTCGATCTTTCCGACCCATGGAGACTCTAGCCTACATTGGGTCAAAACGTGACTCGTGCAATTCTGGTTCTCGGGACTTTCGGGAAGTTGTCAATACCTGGAATTCAGCACCTCATACCCTTTTCTAGATCGCGTCCACGTTTGTGGAACATGTTTACATATGAGGTTTCATTGTGTCGATGAAGATATCACCAGATACTGGCATTATATATTGGCATGGGGCACCATCTGTGATTCTTATTCTGAAAATTGTTATGACCAAGAACATGGACATCCTATTCTAGTGGAAGTTGCTTAGAGGATTGAACATTTTAAAAAGAAATAAGTGTGCACTAACCTTGACATCATGTGACAAAGGGTTATGGCGATCCCGTGGTGATGACGACGATCCTCTGCCGGAAGTTTATCTGAACGATGCAGTGTCCGCGTCGAGTCAGACATGTCCATGACCACGCCCGCCTTGCCTTCCGTCGTGTTTGGAATCTACTGTCCTCACGTTACGTTAATGTTCTACTGGAAGTAGTCGGGCCTTTACAACTGTTTCGAGACCTCAGCATAAAAATGGTGGAAGTTCATCGTTGGGACACAAAGTAGAAATGCATCAGTTCTGGCGACAGATCTGGCCTTGAATCATGTCGGTTGCATTTCTTTGACGCTGTCATCGTTTATGGAAACGGAGGTGATGCCAAGCTCGTACCCTACTTGACAAGTCCACTCAATGAGATTCCACAAGTCCTTCCTCCAGTTCTTAGGACGACAGTCGGCATACTGTGTTTTTCACTTGAGTTGGACATTTTTTCACACTCATGCACGAAGAACGTTCCATGCACGTGTGTCTGAGTCAAGTGAAAAATTGTCTAACTCACGTGAAAAACACAGTAGAATCCTACTGTTTGCTTTTTTCTTATGCCTTTATTTGGTATTCGGCTATCTGCTTCGAATGGTGATGAACCATGTCACTCAAAAAGTAATTCCCATGATATGTTATCAGTAGCTTTGGAAAACCTCGTACGAATCTCCATTCAGAAAGAAAAGATAATGCTTATCGTTGTTCTCTCTTGATAGATGAAAAGCGTCGTTCCAGTTCAATTGCGCTTTCTCCATTGCTCTCTAGGATGAACAGTGAACGATACATAGCAACACGCAGCGTGGTAGCCCTGAAAATGAAAAGCGGTTTATTGCAGCTGGCCTTTTACGTTTATTATTGCAGGATCGACCGGTCGTTTCCCTTTCCATTTCGGATGTGATGTGAATATGAATAACTTAGATGTTTCAGGTTCTCCTCTTCATTTCACCTCGCTTCACTCTCACTCCAGCTTTTCGACTCAAACCCCTCGTAAGATTCCTTTACTTTCTCGATCACACCTACTTGTTTTCCATTACAGGCAGATCAGACTATCGTCTGAATCGAGAAGATGACGGGGATGGAATCCCCAGAGTGAAATGAGGAAGAATGGAATTCAGTTCAAAGAACCAAAAAATGTCTGTGATTGTGAATGTTCTGGTGACAGTGTTGGTGGTGTTTGTGGTTACCCTTGTGAGTGGCAAAGACAGGTTAACGGTAGAAAGAGGCGGATATGAAGGAGTTTTCATTGCACTTCATCCCGATCTGGATCAGAGCTTGTGCGTGAATCTCAAGGAAAATATCGAGGTGAGACAATTATTCAGATAGAGAGTCACTTTTCCAGTCAATAAGAAACGTAATTTTGGATGATCTGATGCTATGGAATTACATTTTTTTTAAATGGAAGATGAATAAAAAATAAATGCCTGCTTTACTCGATTTATGAATAAATCAATATAGACAACCAAAATGTAAAAAAAAATCAATGAGGAGATTACTTAAAATGAGTATTACTAAAATCAAGATCAAAAATTAAACAGAAAAGAAATTGACTGGTGAACAGAGACTTTTAGCGAATAAACGAATCAAGAATGAATAAGCTTTGCCTGCAGCCTGCACTCAATGAGTTCATTCATCGAGACTATTTTTAAATTGCAACTTTGTAGAAGACCATCACAGAGGCCAGCAACGTGTTGAAGCATGCCACGGGAGACATCCTGCATTTCAAAACCGTCAATGTCGTCGTACCTCGAAACTGGACCCAATGCAGAATCATTACGCAAGGTAAACTGCCGGCGAGATTCGAATCGGCTGACGTGAGGATCGTGAACGAGAGGCATCCACTCTATGGGGACGATCCCTGGACCTTCCAGTATGGACCCTGCGAAACGCCTGGCAAATTCATTCAGTTTACTGGTCGTTATTTCCGTGACTCTTCAGTCGACTTGCATGAAATCAGAGGTGAGTTTTTTTTATTTTAATTCGGAATCTGTTTGAAAGTCTTCTGATAAAAGACAATAGATGGAGATTTCGTTGTTTAGTGCAACTATTGGAAAGCAATCCCGCTTATGAAAGCAGAATTTAAAAATGCACTCATGGTTCATGACCTAAAAATTTCCACTTCGGGTTTCCAAAAGGTTAAGGATGTTTAGTAGAGCATTGGACTGAGGATGAAACCATGAAAGACACCTCTCTTTTTATAATATGTATTTGATCCGTACTATTAGGCTACTTGTAATAATTGTTGCCATACAGGGAAATTGTTTGCCCGAGAGTGGTTGAAATATCGGTACGGTGTGTTCGACGAACTGGGTTACCCCAACGATCGTCTGTACCCTGCATTCTACGGGGAACCCGTAGGGTCGCTATATCCACTGGGGAAACCCACCGGATGCTCCGACGTCGACATCCATGGAGACTCGTCAGTTCACCTACAATGTTTCCATAATTCGATGGTGTTGTGCAGAAAGGCCCGAAGTGTCCCTTTCAGAAAATTTTTGTTTTTGCCATGTGATTTAAAAAATTCTGACTTGTTTTCTCGCTGTCCTGAAAAACCAGCCCCAGTACATTTAGGGCCTTCTTGCACGACACTATCGATATGAGACCCTCGTCTTAAACTCCTGGCTATATAAACTTTTATTTTTCTTTTCAGAGTGACGAGTAAGGATGGATCTAGAAGCATTTTCCTTCCGGACATGGATTCCAATGCATCGGAATCCCTTCTATACCTGGATTTCCTACCGCAAGTGAGTTATTGTGAGAGCTTAGTGCGCTTTCATGACGTGAGATTCTATTAGATTCCAGCCTATAGGACTCTTTAAAGTACTATTTTCATTTTTTCTCGAACAGCAGATGGAGTTTGTGACATACTCTCCTGCTTGGAACTGTAGTAGGCCCCTCAAGGGCCTTGCATAAAAGGCGTCTGCATGAAATTTCATTTTGTTGTGCTTGGCTTTTAGAAAACTCCTGATATCATGTGGGTTTTCATTCGTATGATTTCATTGCAGGTGAAGAAGCTCTGCACTCACAACGACGGCATTGCTCCCACAAAGCAGAATGTTCTGTGTGAATACAGAAACGCCTTCGACATCATCATGGATCATGAAGACACAGCGTGAGCATCCGATATCCATATAACAGAACATTTGTATTTAAAAAAATAAGAGCTTGAACTATATATATTTTCTCGTTGGAAAACAGGATGCCTGTTCATCCATGGCCTTCTCCAGCTGTTCCTAACATCCGATGGGTGGAAGAAGCGCCGAGGCATTTGATCTTCCTTCTCCAGAGCTCCAACATACCCAAGGTTTCCTCTCATCCAATGTGGCTATAAATGGAAAACCCCCACAAATTCTGCTTTCTTCTTGTCTAATGCTCTGGCTCTGGGTACAGGAGGTGCACACTGTGATGAGAACCGCCCTGTACAACATCCTGGACCTGTTGAAACGATATCGAGTAGAACTGACCACTTCGGTGATCCTTCTAGTCCCAGATGGGGTCTTGAACGAATTTCCCCCTCCGCCACTGATGGAAGTTGATCAGATCGTCTTGGACAAGAGTTACATTTGGGACACAACCGCAGAGGTTGGCGGGGTTTGCTTTCAATGCTCTGTGGATAAAGCCAGAGAGGTAAGGGGACCTGAACGAGGGGAAAACGCTCTTCGTTTTATACTGAGCGCCTTTAACAGCTGTTCGAAATCAAACTCTAATTTTTGCACGGGCCACAGAACAGTCTGTGAACTTGACGAGAAACGCCTGATCGGTCTGGATTCGTACCCGACCTGGCACATTGAGTTACTGACACACGTTCATTCACGTTCAATCAGCATAGCAACCGACATAAGAGCTCTTACGTTAGCAACGCGTACGGTTTTGCCTCACATATGGATGTTTTTGACAGAAGTAAATGACAGTAGTTCGTACCTTTTCTCCGTCATTTCTGGCAGCAGAGAAAGATTTCTTATGATTAATATACCTCAACAGGAAATACTTGGTTCTCTCCTAGATTAAGTTATAGAGGTAAAAAGCAAAATTATCTGTTTTGAGAGCATCGCGACTCCGAGATATTGCGGCACAATAGCCTAAGTTCTCCATTAACTAGGAATACTCTTAAACTGCAGTCTTGGTGAGTAGGGGGTTGCTCTATATGGTTTGAAAAAGAGATGGCGCAATCGCTGGGGCCATCACCACAATATGACTTTCCTGCTTGAATTTGTTGCGGAAGGAGTGATGAGAAAAATAGTTGAAGTGATTCCCCATGAACGTCTGAAAGGCAAACTTAGTTGATAGATATCCAGAAGGATTTCGTACAATAGTCCCTAATGTTTTCAAGTCGGCGTTTCTGGTGAAATATGAGGTTCTCCGCTATCCACACCCAAGAAAAAGGGGGAAGCACAACACAATCACGTATCTTCTCATCAAGAATAAGATTAAATTTACTAGGGTAGCTTGATGCTTTCTCTCGTTACTAGTGTGTTTGCTCAGGAGGCATGCACGGGTAATTGCCTGGAGGTGCAAGTGCGACGTTTTAAGTTGGAAGGCCTCTGAGTGCGCCATGTGGCGAAAACTGAGTCTCATGTTCTCAAGGCTGTTGAATGCGCTCACTATGAACTTATCATATGATGACCGGTGACATTCGTGCATTGGAATAAAAGAAACTGCTTGACTTCCAGCTTCTGGATGACGACGATTTGCTGAAGTTCAGCGAACTGTTGATCCTAACTGACAAGAGTGAGTCCGATTCAGGTGGAAAGCGCATCAGGAATGATCTGGGTCTCAAGTATCACTTCATCCACATTGGGGACCCGGACCCGGGTAAAGAATTTGAAAACCTTACTCACGAAACTGAAGGAACATATCAGAATGTATTATTCAGCGGAGTTCCAGCCGAGGACATCGTCCAACTCGTCCATGCCCTCGAAAACGTCTTTCCCTCCCTTCTCCCCTGGAAGGTGAGGAAATCCATCATGAAAATTTCTTTTCGGAAAAGTCTATATTTAGGAAATATTCAGGAAATCCAGATATGCAGACTCCACTTGTTTTCGGTTTGTAGGTAAGCGAACGGACGTTCCAGTTGAACAAAACCGGATGGGGTTCGCAAGATGTTATCTTCACGGTCCCGAAAGACCTGAATGCGTCGAATGTCTTGGTACGAACCTACTTGGGAGTACACCATGGTCTCAATCTCTATTTCAAAAGTCCAGAGAGCACAGGCAGCTTCAAAGAATACCACGAGGATGACTGGGAACTAGGACATGTCATCACTACCACTCTCACCGAGAAATGGGTGCTGTGAAAATGCAAACGGTTTCACAATGCAAAGAAATGACAATGAACTTTGAATTGGGCATAACCTAATTTGATTCCATAGGAAGGGGATTGGACGATGCGGATCCGAGGCTACAACGAAGATGAACAAGCGGCTGTTTTGGAAATCCTACTTCCTTTGGAAGAAATGATGCAACCTCAAAGATTGGCGAAAGACAAGCTGGAGTTCCATGTTTGGACTTCTTGGGATCATTTATCAGCTTCCATTCTAAATGTGAGTCCTTCAATAGCTGCTCTATTGTTCTGATCAAGGATGGTAAGGTTCTGGTTTTGTCTAAATATTGACCATTGAGCGAAATTCCTCAAGCATTCACAACACTCTAGGCCAGCGGTTCCCAGACTTCTTCGAATCGCGACCCACTTGCTGACGTGAAAATTTCGCGACCCACCGGAATCCAGAACGAAGTATTTTCAAAGTAATTATGACATGAAGAAAACTGATCGACCTTTCCTGCAGGGCATGTTTTATCCTGAGCGGATGCGGATATGGTTATTTTTTATACTGGGAAAATGAACGAGACCCACTGTTTGGGAACCGCTGCTCTAGGCAACATAATTAAGCTCACATAGTAGGAATGTGTCAAATACAAGCAGAAAGGCTCAACATACAATACCTCTTTGCCAATCGAATTGTTCCAACGACGCACTAATGACGGGCGGCCCTGTGCCCAGAAATCGTTTGGGTGGTCTCACAGCTCTTTACCGGCACATACTTCAATTCCCCCATCACTACGGAGACGCCAGCCAGCAAAATGTTTTCTTGAGTGGCAGGAACAAGTGAAAATCACAAGGTGACAGGCCTGGGCAATGAGGTGGGTGTGTAAGCGTCTCACAAATCAATTTGATGATGGCGTCGATGGTTTGACTAGCCACGTGTGGGCGTACATTGTCGTGCAGCAGCGGTACCCCACAAAGGATTGAACCAGACCATTGCTTCCGATTAGCAGTAAATACTGAGTCCTTCCGGAATTGGTGCTAATTCTGCAAATTTGCAGTGCTATTATGTTTCATGAACTCAAGGTGGATCATCCCAGATTTGTTCCAAATCAACTAAAACCTTCCTGAATGAAGGTGTCTCCTGAAGTATCTTCGGTGGGGGTGTACCTTGATGGCTCAGTTTTACACTGACTCTTATTTTTTCTGGGGCCATGAGTTTTCATTGTAGATTGATCATCATTCAGAGATAAGGATCACTTTCTTGTATGAAATGGTGCACTACATTCGTATTCACATTCCTCTCTGCCATCTTGCTGAACAAGGCACCCAGTAATGAGATCTGGCAACTCTTCACATTATTGTTGCCAGGCGTTCAAGAGACCTAATCACGTCTCTACGAGTAATTCCCCAAAAGAAACTTAAAAGGAAAGGGAAGTACTCGAAAGGCCACGAATACATTGATCATCCCTCGTATATACCCTCCTATGTCTATTATGAGCTGAGTCACAGCATCCTCGTTGGTATAATATAATCTGTATGATATAGACACATGTTGCACATGTGACCAACTTGACATGCTGGTAAAAGAGCACTATGGGATGATGTAGGTCACTTTTCGATGCACGAGTGGCACAAGATCCATGGCATTTACATTGCTTTTCCTACAGTGGAAGCCAAAGTGTTCTTTTATAGTTATGTTTATCACACATGTTAAACGCCTCTATTCAGTCCAAGATTTTCCTAAGCTTACGAACGAAGCCCGGTATGCTGCTGAAAATACAATTGTTATACGTACAATTGCTGAAAAGGATCTCTTTAGAGCAAAAGAGTTAATTGGAGGTATAGAAAGTGGTCTGAAATTTTGAGGTGACTTCTATGTACTCTGTCAAATTGTTATTTTATTCACGATGGAATTGTCATTTTCTTCTCCATAGAATGCAGAAAAGCTATATCCGGACAATCCGTTGATCATTTACGCGTCCCTGAAATACGGCAAGAGCCCTGTTGTCGGTGAGTTCGTCATTCACCACTACCATACTCAAAGTATCACGGAAAATTAAAATCGAGTACCACAGATGATCTGAAAGTTTGTGCCTTATAAATGATCAGAGGAGGCTGAAAGTTGGTTTTCATAGTTCTTCATCTTTTTAGGTAAATTCAAGTGTCAACAATTGCTTTAATCTGCATTTTTTTATCGTTGGTATTCAAAGAATGTTCCAGTCGAACATTATTCCATCTCAAATTGCCGAAATTTGAATATAAAGCAGTGATGCAATTGTCAGTTTAAAAATTTGAATTTATGTAAGTTTATTTATTCAATTAAAGCAACTCACTTGGTGCTCTAAAACTTAAAGAAAAAATTCCTTAGAAGCAGCTGCGAAAGTGACAATAAAGTAAATGAAGCTGTCCAAGCATTTTTAGACCACAGTGAACCTGGAAAATTGCCCATGACATTTAAGTCCTGTCCATCAACAGCACCAGTGTTGAGATCAAGGGGGTCAATGTCGAAAATTACATTTTGTTTCATGAGTCTCTAGCACTTCTTTTTTTTTTTCATGCCCGTAACTCTGTACATCGAATGGCAGTGCTTGTAATACTGTATAATCGAACAGACCTCTTTCGATTGGCTTGTCGCAGACGATCCGTCAAAAACTCCCAAGTGCATTTCCTGAGATATCAAGGCGTCCTAAAGGTTTTAATGGAATTAAAATATTATCATCATAAGACCAGAAAATCGTAATTCCTATGTGAATAAGATATACGAGGGGTGATAAAAAAAAAACTTAATAAAAAAACTAATAATGAAAAAAAGTCTGAGGCACTTCTAGTTGCAATGCACCTTTTGTACTTTGATCATGAGAAGACACATGCATTTGATGGTGATAAATTTGTATCATATTTTTCGATTAAAGATTGAATTGTTTCCCTGTGGTACCAAAGGGCCTGCTGAAAGGGTATAAATAGTGGCATAAATGCTGTGATGAATTTTCTAGCTTCTAATGAATCAATCTCTCATCAGATCTTTCAGCAGCTGCGAGGATAGAATCCTACTCATACTTCTACGAAAGATCTTCAGGGAGATCGACTCCTTAGAAGCTAGAAAATTCATCACAGCATTAGTGTCACTTTTTATGCCGCTTCAGCAGACCCGTTGGTAGCACATTGGAAAAAAATTCATAGAAGCTATCTTTAATTGACAAATATGATGAAAATTTGCCAGTCATCATCGAAGACATCCGTCTTATTATGATAGAAGTTAAAAAGGTGTATTGCAACTGGAAGTGCCTCAAGCTTGGAACTTTTCGATCACCCCACGTATACGTTAGCGTACCGGATACACCTGTGCACTAACGAGCTCTTCTAATTCCTGTAAACCTATGAAATTGATTGCTCCGCACTCGAGAAGCCTTGTAACATCACTGACAAAGAGGACAAAGGAACCTATCGATTTGGTTTTGTAGCATCTTGTGGCGACCCAGAGAGGAAAATGATTGAGCTCATTGTGGAATATCAAGACCCGTCTCGAAGCGAAATGTTCTACCCACTGAAATCTCTCATGATGAGCGACGATGGCAGAGGAGGTGATGAAATCGTCATCCAGCATCTCACTAGTCTTCAAACTCTTTCTTAAGAGAGGGGGAAAAAAAAGGAAATTTTTTTTTGTGCCAGATTCGGACATCCAACACGGAGACGGGATCTTCACGGCATATTTCGTGGATTTTGTCCGCGAGCAGCGAAGGATCGCCTACAGATTCAAAGTCAGGATTAATGCATCGCAGGAATCCATATACGTGATTGAAGATAACAGGACGAGCTCTCTACGTGGACTCATGCATCCTGACCCCAGTGAGAATCGCTTTTTCATCATTATTTATCTAATTTGTAATCGGGAAAAATATTTCATCTCGTCAACTTTTTAATTTTCATATTTTGACATTTTGAATTTAAAAAGAGCTTTATGTTGTCCATTCTAAGACTTAAGTTGCCATTAAAAAAAAAAATATTCATTTCGTGCATTCTGCTGTTGCCAGCGAAAATGCTTTCCCTTTCTCAGTTCTTCCATTTCCATCAGAAAAAGTTTCACATCGTGTGTGCTCCCCAGATTCTCCGGTCCCTTACTGCTGCGGGAGCACGATAGGGGATGCAGTATGCAAGGAGGTGAAAGGATTCACCTCAGAGATCACCGGAAAGGTCCTTTCCGTCCATTTCCTTACTGGGCTCCGATGGGACTTGTTCCCACCCGGGAGGGTGACCGACTTCCAAGTCTCCCTTGATCTCAGCAGAGATGCCCTGGTGTTCACTTGGTCTGCTTCGGGCGACAACTACACGTATGGCACTGGTGAGCCCATGCCTCGTTTCGTATGATCCACAATCACTGACACTTGAAAAAGAAATCCCACTGGGGCCTCTCTCGATGGATTTAACCTCCATAACGATATCTATTCAATACTTTCTGGATAGATTCATTAACGCAGAGGGTAAGAAATGATCATGAAGTCCGACCGAAATTATTCCTCCCTTTATTTGTTTGGAATACAAAAGACACCTGCATTTATGCAGTTGAATTTTTCATGCCAAGCAATGATACTTTGATACAAAAGTACAAATGATATATGGATAAAAATCCCAGATGCCCTGTATTTTGCTGCTAGAAAGTATAAAGTATTAAGGAGGATTTCACGATCACCGTTCAGGTTACTTCTAGACATCGATGAGTTCAGCTGATCCATTAGGACCACTTATGGTCTTGCCCTATAGGGCAAAACCAAAGGACCATAACTACATCACATTGACCATCTCAGAAATGGGAGATCATTTTTCACAGAAAACTATTTGAAGTATAAAATCAGGTATTATGGGTGCTCGTTCCTTATATCCTTTGGTAAAGTCAGTCTGGATCTATTAAAACTAATTCTATTTTGCATGTTGCTCAGTAAGACGAAAAAACGAACAACAGGGTGTTCGAAAAGTCACTGTGCAGTAGAATTCATTTATTTTGTTGCATGCATTTAATATTGTACTGCGTATCACATATATTGCATCATCAAAGACATGAATATCCACTCAATACTTCATCAAATATTAGCACCATCCCCGATTCGCATAATTTATTTTCTGTAATTCCTAGCTACCGTGAGGCCTCCTACGTGATGTCGTGAATTCTACTGCACAGTGACTTTTCGAACACCCTGTATAATTTGGTTTAGTGAACACAATCTGTCTTCTCGTCTTTGGTCAATATTCCTTCGCACACCATGGAAACAGTAGGCTCCTATAGGAAATGGATATGGTAATCGATGGAGTGAGAATGAAAGGAGTTGGAACCCATTGTGTTTCAGTGGAGACCTACAACCTGTACATGAGTGCGGGGAATAGGACCACGGAATTGATGGTGGAGCCAGCGGGATTGCCGGCGTTCAAGGCTTATGGGGATCTACAGACACACGCCTTCACCTTTTCTGAACTCAACATCACGGAATCCGGCAGTTATACCTTCCAAATTAGGGCCTGGGATGGGACTCAATTTTCCAAATTTTCCAATCGGGCAAATATCAAAATCTATCGGGAGAAGGGGCGAAGCGGAGAGATAAAATTTGGCTCTCAGGATAAATTGGCGATTATTCTCTTCGCCGTTCTGATCCCCCTGGCCCTTCTTGCCCTTGGCGTGTTTTTGTACTTTTTCTGCCGGAAAAGACGAGCTGGTGACAAGGCAGCGAAACGGGATTTCTCGTCGTATCAAGCCGGGACGAAACAACGGCCCGAAATCGGAGACCCGAAGCCGACGGACAATCGGAATTTCATCAGTGCCTCGGAATTCCTACAGAAAAGCGGAACGGAGCCAGACGAGAAATCATGGAAAGGGGCGTCCCCGTACTCCTATCCGGAGAAGGAGTACACGGAGACGTACGAAGCGAACCCGTCCGTGTACGCCTACGAAAACCGTGGTTACAAAAGCGGTGGCGGCGTCGGAAGCGGCCTCAGCGATTCGGAGACTGCGAGCGTTTCCGACGGTGGTTTTAATCCTCGATCACCGTCGAAATACCCGGCGGGGCCGTCCGGAGACGTGTATAGCATCCCAGTTCCCTTTCGGCATGCCCCTGCCCCACCGACCGCGGCACCGGCTCCACGCCCAAGGACCATTCAAATGAATGGTAACCCTGGCCCTAATCCTGGTCCTAGTCACTTCAGCCCGGAAAGTACTTCCAGTCTCGCCCGTAAGAAACGCAATGCCACCTTAGTTTGACCTCAAAACCACACTCCAGTTTGATCTCCTGATTTCGAGACACAATCATGAAAAATCTCTCTCTGAAGCAGTGCATTTCCTGTGTTATGTCCGCGTGGACAGGGAGCTGAAATTGATATCGATGGATGTGTTGATTCTCTGTGATCGCATTCCCCAACCAAAGCTATAGTTGTAGTTCAGGGTTGTGAGCCCTAACACCCTGATTTGTAGCATCTCGAATCAAAAATGGAGGAATGTCATTGTAGGAATAAATGGATGACTGCTTCTTTTCGATCCTCAGATTTTTTCCTTGGTATATTTCTTTAAGCAGAGTCCTTTCTGAAAAAAAAAGAAGAAATTGCTCCCTGTGAAATCTCCAAAGATGTCAGCGTTGTCCACAATTCACGAATTTGACACACTTGACACTTTGACACAGACTTTGGCTTTGAAAACTCGCATATAGTAACATATTTATGGTAATAAATGCGACATTCGCTAAATCTCATTGAGTCGCAAGATGGACGGTCATTCCTTTTTAGTTATCTCTAACGCAGTCTCTTCTTATGGTATTCTCTACCTTATCCCGTCACGCCTCCTGACTTCTCATATCCTACATCTTGCGCCACCATCAACCATGACGATACACTAAGAGAATAAGGCTGGCAAATTACTTGAACTTTGCCAAATCTACTGTATTTTCTTCTCCAGCGCAAGGAAGGGGAGGGAATGAGAGAAAGCAAGGCGTCATGGACTGCAGTCCCCTTGTCCCTCTCTCCCTTCACTGTTCCAAGTTATTGATTCCTTCCCTTTTCTGAATAGTGTTCTTGGTGCAGACAGCCCGGGACCATCATTTCTCATCGAGAGAGAAAGGCACGATATCGAAATAACGATGTCTGAAGAATTTAAATTTCGGCAACATTTTTTTTCCAAGCAGTCTCACAGCATGAAGGAGTTCGTATGTTACCTCCTATTGTGTACGTTGCGGTACTGCAAAAGTGAAATGGATGTAGTAGAGCGCAAAGTAAACTGAGTTATTACATGATCTACGATATAAAAACTGCGCGTCCCATCCATCCATTCGTGTCCCCTTACTTGGAACGGAGTTGGAGAACCAGTTTCTAATGCAATCGGACTATCTCAAGGCCATTTCTGGACAAATCAGTCCGTGGACTCAAGGTCTCTACTTTCATTCCTTACTGATAAGATTAAAGTAGGATTTCTGGCATCCAGTGGTTTTGTGGTTCTGTCACATAGCGATAGTTTGTGCATGCACAAACATGCACAGTTGAATTCGGAAAGGATTAATTAATTTTAATATATGCGTGCCTCTGTGATACAGAGCAATTTTGGTGATATGTAGAATAAAGAAAGGATGAACAGAATGGGAGGATTTCGAGCTTGGCTATGCACCTCACTGCAAAATGAGACATTATTTCAAGGACTGAAAGGAAAGTGGTCCGTATAAAATTCTCTCCTCGAACTCCATAAGGAAAGAGTGAATATTCCAGTGGCCGTCATCATGAGTGAGGAAAGTGGCATAAAAAATGACCAGTTCTTCATTTACCTAATTCCCTAGAAATATCATTTTCAACGAAAGACAAACGAGTTCTATAAGCGTGAAACCGAGTATATTTTTTTCGAACATGTTTTACAGATTGACCCCTATGTCATTATAATGTATAACGTATGTAAGTAGGTGTAACTATCGCGCCTCTGCAGAAAGGAGACGGTCTTCCGTTTGAAGGTGGACTGACAAGATAAAGGATTGGAAGTGCGTCAATAAGGGAAAAACGGAAAGGAAAAGGCCGTTCCTTTCAGGAACGTGCCTAACCTACTAGCAGGATCCCCGAGCCGCCATCGCATGTACAGAAATATTAGATTAACTTTCACCTCTGCTTACTAAATATGTGACAAGTGCTACATCTCATTCTATGGGCTTCACTGTAGAGTTGTGAAGTCATAGTTCCCTCGTTCAAAAAGGGATGTGGCTCCATGGGCTTCGCTCATCACTGCGCCGCTTCCCCATTAATGACGACTGAAATTATTAAGCGTCTCTCGATTACCGTTGACAACAGCGACAGGGAAAGGGGGTGCGTGGGTAAAAGTCAAAAGTCGATCCGAAAGCATTGTAGAATATAGATGGTGTTTGTGATGGTAGGGGTGATGTAGGTGGTGGCGCCAGGTGGAGATCATCATGGTGAGGAGGGTGAGGGCATTCATGGCTCGGTGTCTTCATTTCTCATTTTCAAAAAGTAGGGCTGCCACGATGCACCGATGTATCGATGTCACTATATGCACCTGGAAGCATGAATGATTTTATGGGCCATGGCGATGGTCTCGGGCCTCCCTCTCGCTCAGCCCCGCCCCCTATCGATCGTGAGGAAAACAATGGAAGGCAGCTCCTTTCCCCTCCCCTGCTCTTCGCAGTTCGAGGTCGATAAATAATTTTCCCAATGTGTCGTCGATCGCCGCTCTGTGGTTTCATGGCTCTGTAAGCCCATAAATAGCAGTTCCATCGTCATGAACAGTGGGTTACTATTAAATTTTAAATGACTGTCAGCAGAAAAACTCTCTCGTCACGTTGCCAATTTTTCTTACGCCCAGAAGAAAGAGATCATCGTTTTAAAATAATTTTGGATTGATTTTCGGATCCAAGCAGATCAAGTTTATGACATTTAGGAGTTGAAATGAAAGCATGGTGAATCTGAATGGAATGGTGGTATCGATGACGTTGACGAAGCCTTGCTCTTACAGACGGACAAGCGGAGGATTGAGTCGTCAATCTCGTTTCTTCTCGTGAATAGAAAGCAAGATACAGGGTGAGGCAGAAAAATGATAACTGAAAATGTATTTTATGTTAGTGGTATCTATGATGTGCATCTATATGATCTAACGCAGGGGTGTCAAACTCAAATCGGTCGGCGGGCCGCATTCCTTACCCTGTAGATGCTTGCGGGCTGCACCCATAAAATTTCACTTAAATTTGTGCTGACACTCAATCCATGCGGAAAATTTCAAAAGCAGACGGCGGGCCGGATGAACCACCTCTGCGGGCCGGATCCGGCCCGCGGGCCGTATGTTTGACACCCCTGATCTAACGCATGGAAATAGACCGTCAACGTGGTGAACCCGTGATTGTGCACCATGGTGAAAATAATGATAACTGAACTTGCAATGTGCTGTAGGGTGTAATATATAATTTTCTGATTGCTGAATCGCGATTTTAGTTACCTACTTTTTGCCTCACCCTGTATTATGATGAGAACGATGAAGGACATTATTAATTACAATAGCTTTCACAGTTTATAGGCACATTTTTAGCCAGTTTCTTTTTACTCTTTACTACAATGAGGATCCTATTAACTCAAGAAACCTAGATGAGGATCCTGGGGAGGAGAGTTCTGGGAAAATGGGACTGATCTGAGCTCGAATGATAAGGCCTTTAAGTACTACAGTCGCCTATCCGCGACTACTATAGTATTGTCTCTCCAGTCTACATCCGCGGATAAGCGATTTTATATTTCGCGTGTGAATACTTCTGCCGCGGATTTTGTGTTAGATTTAGTGTTGGGTTCATCATATTGCAAGATTCAACTGTCGTGTACTTAGGTAAGTGAACTATTAAAATTTTCGGTCCGAGCATGTTGCATGCCTCTACTAAACCTAATACTTAAAGGGTTAAAGAGGCACGTGAGGAAGATTTAAAAGGACGTGCCTCTCTGCCTCACTTCGCCTTTTTCGTATCGACCTCAACTGATCCTTATCAGTTGTTGACGTCGTGGACCATCCCCCCGCTGCTCACGTCTTTCTCTACATGACAGTATACTGCGTTTCTTCTATTCCGCCCTTCAGTCATGCTTCTCTCTCGACTTTAAGCTGGAATCCCATAGTTTCATGGCATGCTCGGCGGAATCGCCTCAACGATCCAACACACCTGATTCATACTAATTCTTGTCGTGATGTACTGAATCTGACCCTTCTCTAGGAGAGGCGATTCAGTTCAACGTGTCGTAGAAACCTAATTGTGACAAGTTACTCTGAGCAATGAAATATTCAAGTATGGCAGTGCTTCGATATGATGTCCAACGTGAGAAATCCAGATCGCCAGAAGCATTGATACCGTATTCGATGGATTACGACTCTGCATCCGGTACCACTCCAAGAACTTCAGAATGATCACGGTATTGGCATTGACATCATATGCCGTATCCTTGAGATATCCGAGCAAACGAGGAGGAGGAGATGGTGGGGTGAATTTTAGAAGACTGGTCAGGTGCGGGATGGGAGAAAAGGTGAGAGCGGACGGAAGAAAATAATTGGCATGAAGATGCTTGACGCCATTGAAATGATCTTGACTGATGAGCCCGTCGCTTCAGTGAGGGAAGTCGATACCCATCTCCGACAGGCTCTGCCACAGAAGCCTCATGTTTCGGAAGAGGTAGTGAGAGTAACTGTACTTAGTGACCTATATATGTCACTCGAAGATGCTCCTCAGAGAAAAGTAGAAGTCAATAGTCCCCATCTCCTGGATCTCAGAGAGGAATATGCAACATGTTTTTTTTTCAGAGGGGTAGGAAAAGTATCTAGTCTTTATTGACGATACTGAATTTAATCTGTGGCTCTGTCGAACAAAGGGTTGGTCTATAACGGGCGCAAGATGCATAAAGAAGTTGACTCACGGAAGGGTGCGAATGTTACCATGAATGTTACGACGATCTCCGAAAGAAGACTTGCTCCATCACACCTTCATCGAGAGAGGACTCTCTCACAACAAGTTTCGGGACTTCCATTCTGAGCTCTCTGCTCTGATCGGGACCGATCAGGAAGTTATTTTTTCATTTTGGATAATCCCAGGGCTCACTTTGAATGACCAACCATCTATGGTAATCATTCGATGAAATACTTCGATGAAGTCCTCATTGAGCACGCATTCTCTGGATTTAAGGCAGAAATCAAAATAAGTCTGAGTCGTAGACAGATTTTGTGATAGGGCTGCATCAGCTGCTTAGAGCATGACAATACAGCAACACAGAGTTCATACATTGACAGAAGTTGCAATGATAGCACTTCCTGTGTACACGCCAGACTACTGTCAGCGATGTTACACGCATACGTACGAAGTACTGAACAAGTGTTAGGAACGAGAACCCATAATGGAAAGAATCCAGAGTCCCCTGAGGAAAATTTTACTCCTGTTTTAGTTCTCTACGTATTCTTGCGACATCAAAGCCTGTCATTTATACCTGTCCCTGTCTCCCTGCCATTTATGCCCGTCGATGATGAAAAATCCAGAAGGCGTGCGAAGGGCATGAAGGCTTCGATGAAGGGAGAGTGGAGGAGAGAAAAGGAGAGCCATGCGTAGCTCCGCCTCGAAAGGGGCTCACGATTCCTGGCTATTTTTCCCCTTCTAATGCCCCAAAACTTAGTTTCTTCGTGGAAAGGGATTTTTGCTGCCTTTGCAGAATAATTTCATAGCTTACTGAAAACCTGTCGGATTCAAGAGTGTCTGAACCAAATAAAAAGCTCCAGTAGATATGGGAATATGACAGAAATGCCTTCTTCCATTGATATCGCAGCCTCCTTTGAGAGAATCCTCACTCAAGAGAGATGGTCCTGGAATATAGAAACCAAAAGAAGCGAAGTACTAAGCCTGGAGGTTTTCCTTCAGTTTTTTTTATTTCGTTAATAGTTCTGGAAATGATCCATCTCCATTTGGGATGAACGAAGGGTGAGATACCCAAGTGAAGCTTGGTTCATCTGCGTCTGTTCATCCATGGCTGCGGGTCGACATGGAGCAGTAACAGTCTAACAAAAAAGTATTGCGTCCAAATCGCCCTACACAGGCATTGGAATCACATTTCTCTGGGAGAATCATCAAACTTACTTTCAGTCATATTAATAATCCGGATTGGAATGCTAAAAAAAAGGCACGAGAATCTTTAATTTCGAATCGTATCATGCAGAGACTGCGGTAATCCCGATCGAAGGACTTCCAAAGAAAGAGAGAAAACCCGTTCCTTCCAGGGCATTATGCCGTTCGGTTGTTTTGATCATCTGATATAACTTCGCCTGTCCTGTAGAAAAGCAGTTGCACTTGGCATCTGGGCTCTGCTCGCGTCAGGTACCCGTCGACCTATCCTGCACCAGGGTAAGTCCTGATTCTTCGTCTCATAACTACGATAACTTTGTGTTGTAGCTCCTATCTTCCATGGAACAATAAATTATCCATCTTAAATGTAGGCAGGATTTAATAGGAAATTAACTGCCATCCTCAAGCATAAAGTCAAATTGTTAAATATTCATTTGCAAAGATGTCTAGTTTCTCTAGTCCGAAGCGGAAACAAAGGATATACAACACGAGCATAAGTAAGTCGAGTAAGTCACAGATAGAAGCGAACTACAAAAGAAATTATGAAATCAGTCCTGTTATTGCTGCTGAGAGAATAGTGAAAATGAATCATCCTATACCTTTTTTGCTTCAGAGATTCAGGAAGGAAAAATCTAGTTTATCACGAAAGTATTCTGAGATTACCGACGTGTTCGATGCTCACAGCCTCCAGCATGTATGAACTCTGTAGGAAAGCAAGGATGCCTGTCCATGCCGAGAAAGAGCCTCACCTAGGAGCTCTCGAGATGATGAGCATTTTGACAGCCAAGGAAACGTCCAGAGTGATCTCCGCCTACGACGCTAACGCCCTCCAATACGAGCAGGTAAAACGAGAAATTTTGCTTTCTTTCGAGCCATCTGTAGAAGGGTAGGAAACCATGGGTGCGTTTATAGGACTTCAACGACCGGTGCTACAAAGCGCCACGACTGGCTGCAGAAGCCATCAGGGACTTCATCCAGGTGGAAGATAGGTCAAAGGTCAAGATCATGGATATTGCCGCCGGGACTGGCAAGGTCGGAGAATGGGTCAGTCTCTTCTTTCTTCACAATATTCCATCATCATTTCGACTTCTTGCGACTGAATCATAATTTTTTACACTCTCATAAGTGTATTTCCATTTGATGAAAGCATTTTCCTTGACTTGGAAGTTGGCAAGATTTGGATTTCGAGACATCGATGCCCTGGACGGGTCTCGAGGAATGTTAGACACATTGACCAAGAGAAATATCTACGGCAGAAAAATACACGTGAGTCATTCCACCATGAAAAGTACGAAACTTTTTCGTCATTTGTAAGGCTTTTTTAATAACTTGGTTGGTGCCTGAAAACTCCGATGCATATCTAAAGGAAAGATTATGCAAAATAAAAAAATTTTCCTGTTTTTTTTTTCCCATAGCCCCTTAGTAGACCTTCATTCCACTTTGAAATACCGAGTCAGAAGAATTCCGAGGTGAATTTTAGAGAAGTTGTGGCACATTTCGTGCCTTCAGCCATATTTTCACGCGGATGAAAGAAATAAGTACTGTACTTGAAAAGTCTCTGGCTCTCTGACATGGCGGATAAATTCTATTGTGAGAAAAATGACTTTTCGCCTGCGGTAAAACATAGATATTTGCAACAGGATACGATCGGGTATCACAGAATTGACGTGGAAGACGAGACTTACGACGCCGTGTCAATGTCGGCAGGATTCGTGGAAGGACACGTGCCCGTTGCCGCTCTCGACGAAATGCTCCGAATTTCCAAGAAAGGTACGAATCGCAAGCACCAGCATTTCCATAACCTGGCCTTGTGTAAATTGAAACCCTACCGTATGCCATTTGCATACTCATTCCAGAAGGTTTTCTCTTCTCTTGCCACTCGGTAGGAAAAAAATAAGAACGATTAAATGAACCAAAATTAAAAACTACGTAAACCAGCTTTCGGCGCTCAGTTATGAGAGAAAAAAATACCGGAACATTGCATTTAATCCAAATCGTTTGAAAGGTTCTCAGCAGGGTAAAAGGAACGAACGAAGACGGCTGCGTTGTTAGTCCGTTGATTTTTCTCTTCTTTTGCGAACAGGAGGGATCGTGGTGGTGGTGCTGAGATACGAATACCTCTGGACAGTGGAGGAATACCGAGACCTGGAACCCTACATGAGAAGCATGGAGGAACGGGGTTTATGGACGATGCTCCTTCGAAACATCACTGCCGAATACTTCTACGAAAAAGAGGGCATCACCTACGTCTTTCGAAAACTCTGAAGAGTCTTACTGTTTTCTCATTCGCGTACGTACATTGCTTCATAGCAGGGTGTCTCGAAGTCCACGAAGACGTTTCAAATTGACTTTTTTGTCTCAAACGGCTGAAATCCGTCGACCATACCTCAATAAGAAACTGAATCAAAGAAGAGATAGATAAGCCCGACAAGTGAATATGATTATCATGAACGCTCGGAAATAACCAGATCCAACTCTGCAAAAGTCTGCAACTTTGACATATGCATTCTTGGGAGTATAAGACCACTCATAGTCTCTTATACTGTATGTTCTATGATTTGTGTGAATAACATGGCTGATGTTATTCAGTTCCTCTGTTGAAAACATTGGAGCAGAAGTGGAAAAAGTTCTTCTGCTTCACGGTAGCCATGGTTTACCTTCCCAGTTAAGCTGGTGTGTGAAGTGACCCTGTGTTTGGGGGGCTGAGCAGAAGCAAAAAGGGAGGGGGGGGGGGGGTGCTTGGCAAAAGATCAATTTTAAGTCACCACTAGTTATTCAATGAAAATGCCTATGTGTAGGCCCCTAGCAGTACCTAATGGGGAGTCCACAGAGGAGTAGATCCCTTCAGAAGCTCTTCAAAGTGAAATACGCATTCAAAATGATAATCCCTTTATTATGCCGATGATAAGGCCGCCTCTAATTTACAGTCAGACGAATTTGATCGATGTCCCCACCTCTAACCTTCTTTCCTCCTCATTAGGGCGAGATCCTACAACTCCAGGATTGAGGAAATGCGCAATACTTAGATCTTTCCGGCTACGCTCTCGGCACGAAAGGAAAAAAAATCGATATCCTCGTCCCTGAACTTACCTCAGAGTTGGAATTTCGAGAGTTAATCATGACTGGAGAACAGGAACTCTGATAGAACTCGATTCCGATGTTCTTGTTCTCAGTTTTGCAAGATACTTAATTTTTAAATAATTTTTTTGCACTTGGATATATTGCAACTCTGCGGAATGTAATGGGTGGAGCCCTATTTCTCGTACTACCTTAAGTTGGATTTGATGTACGATACGTGATACGAGGAAAAGCGAGAAGAAACTCCTCTGACACCTGATTGGATTAGATGCTGGGCTCAGCTAATCCCCTTATAAGCCTTTCCGCGCTCGTAGGTTTTTCGTTTCGTGTGTCTGCCATCTCTGGAGGACCTTGCCGTCCTCACTTCTTTCTCCGAGTTTTAACTGTCTGTAAAGCTACGTTTCTAGGCGAACTCCACACGCTGAATCGCGTGCCGATGAAGTATGGGACGTGACTCTGTTCCGGTATATCTTTGGGCCAAAGACTTGCTGAAGGGTTCGTACCGCAGCGCCTCACGAACGGGAAGCCTGCATGAAGTTCTTCGAGTGGGGAAACTACTTATTTGAATGAAGGCTATGGACTACCTGACGAGCACGAGCTTACATCCGATTTGATTCCGAGTTAGGCCTACCGTATTTGTCGTTTGTTGACTGGAGTGTTAGAAGAAACCCAGAAAAAAGAAAGAAATGGGTGATCTTTCTGCAGGAGATGCAAATGGCAGATAATGAATCTGTCATCTCCGGATGCACATAGATGCTGCATGCTTCTCTCGCTACTCTTCCAGTTCTCGATCATACGATGAAACCATCGAGGCTAACCGACGAAGGAACTTGCTCCCTCAGTGTGGTATGCTCTAAGGAGGACTTCAAGAAGTTCGCGCTTTAGCGAGCAAAATACAGGTGTCGCCAGTCTCCCAACGCTGTAATACTCTGTGGCAGATCGAATCGGAGGCTCCTTTGAAGTACATTTCTAAAGTATATTGACGTAAAAGTTGAAAATATATATTTGTGGTTGGAAATGGGAGCCATGGACGGGTCTATGCGATGGAATTGGCAGGAATCTTTCTCGCTCGTCTTCGGCTTTTTCCTTGGCTACGGTCCTTACATTGGCTCCAGAAATTAAGATTTTTCACTATATTTGACGTATTTGTACTGTCTCATTGGAGCGTAATTCGGAGTTCGGAACTGATAAATTTTCCTGAAGCAGACAAAGAGAGACATTGTGAAGGAACTTACCGAAAAAGGAACAAGCGGGCAAAAATTTCCCCTCTTCATATTTAGCGGTTGAGGTGCGAGGGCGCCACCGAATACGATATAGTGGCCTACTGCACGGTACTGCACTTCAAGGCTGAAAATTGGTAAAAGCAGGTAATCACAACTGAACAGGACGCTTAAGATGTATATGCAAAGTAATTCGACAGCTATGATTCCATGCGTTTCAAATATCACTCCCCCGATAAGAAGATTTGCGTTGCAAAATCAAGTTCTTCGCAAAAATGAAGAAAAATGTTACGTAAGAGTAAGTTTTGTTGCATAAAAAAATAGAAATCATCGGATGCTAAGGAATGCATGAGCAAAATTTCACTGCGTAACATTCAGCGATTTAACTCTTGAGCTCTAACAAGCGCAGTGATGAAGCATAATTTTATTTTGTGGTAACATGTTTTTCGCACGCGCTGTATGCATAACTTCTTGTTTGGAAAAACTTCGGTATAATGCAAGCCGTTTTGAATTTGACACATACGTATATTATTGCCATCTATATTTATATTTATTTCTATATTTCCAAAATGCATTACTTCCATGCCAAGTATCAGCATGAGACAAAGAACGTTCTAGACACCCAAAAATCCTGAAACCGAGACCATCTAGCTGCGATGTCGCATCATGGCACTATGAATGCGGAAATCCAAAGATCTTTTATATTTAAAAAATACATTGCAATCAAATGCGAGCAGCTCCGGAACGTAGAAAATACCAAATATTCGTATCTTTACAGTAAAATACCAGTTCTGAGGTTCTGTAAGGGATACCGCAAAGAAACTATGCTCTTTGTCAAGCGACTTCCGTCTTCCCGTGAAATTAAAAAAATTAACAATGGTGCAGTTGTTTTGAACGTCGACCGTTGGGTTTAGTCATCGATACGGGCGAGGGATGGTCGAGATTTTGCAGCGGTACACGAAAAAAAAAGGCAGTTCTGCTGAAGGGATCGGTTGATGACCGAGGAAGAAAACCATTTTGTATCCGATTGCGAAACTCCTGCTCTCGAGCAGAGCGGGAGACTGTGAAGAAAGGTCGATTCGAGGGACGCAGGAACGAGAGAGCTGCAATTTCGGCTGCCGGCCACAAACCGAGAAGGAACCTTATCCATCAGATGCGGTTGTAATCACGGGAACTGGGAAATTCAAACGTCTGCCCATACAAAACGTTACCCCCTCCTTCGTCCCAATTTTCCCGCTTTTTCCCCTAATCTTTACCTGAAGGGTCTTCTGACAGGTTGAGAGACGGGGTAAAAGCCGTTTTTTTTTTACCTGTTTCACCGACCCAATTTTACCTCAGGGAAAATTTTTTGTAAGGGTGAAAAGCGACGCGATTGGCTTTTAGAGAATCCTCTCGGAGGGAAATGTTTTCGTTCGTCACCAGCAACGGTGCAACCGATTTGAAATCAGAGGGAATGGATGGCAGACGTAGAGGAGGAAAAATACCTTCACGCCAAATAACTCGAGCCTATTCTCATCGATCTCGACGAACCGTTTAGAACCCCATTGTTTAACATGCGATTTCTATCTACTCCACACGACATCGATCCAGTCAATTGTCATCGAACTGGACCAATTTGGTGGGCAGACACCCGAAAAGAAAGGAGATCGAGAAGAGGAGATGGGAATGGGGACCAAGAAGGGAACGGTGGAGTCGGGAACTTGATTTCGTCCTCGGGGAATCCATGAACGTGGATTCCCCTCGTTCGCTCGTCGGACGGCTTTTTACCAGCTTCTGGTGCCGTCGTCTTCGTCGACATCGAAATGACGAAAGAATTAGGTGAAGTAAGACTTTCGTAGATTGGATATTTTTTAAACTTATTACTCTATAATTCACTGGTGTTTCCCACGTCGTCGTACAACAGATGTCGGGACGTTTCATCATATGATTAATTGAGTGTATTAATTTATTTCTGAAGCGAATAAGTCAGTGAAAATTAAAGAGTCTGCACATATAGATATAGAAACGGGACAACATAATATACAAGTGTCGGTATATTGAGACATCCGTGTCATGATGATGGTTCTAATTTCTATGAGAAAAAAATACTCAGAATACTTTTACCTGTCTGCGATGTTAGCCTATGGCCTGCCGTACCAGTTTTCATTCGATTCCCCAGTCATTCTCCACGATGGCTGAAGAACAAAGAGAAATGAGGAAATGCTCTGAAAAGCACATTTTCACAGGAAAAATGAGACCTCAGCTCCGGAGGTAAAGCCGATGGGAACTCGGAGATACTATGACGAAAATCAATCTTGACCGATGAGGAGGAAAGAGCTTAAATGTTTTCACTAATCTTCCATCCCCGGATGAATCTGGGTCGAGAGAACTTCTGTAAACCAGCCTAGAACGAGGCGAGAGACGATGGAGCGTGTGAGCCTGGATCCCAGGCTCTTCGCGTCAATCCATTTCATTCTTTCTCATCATATGACCTGCTCTGGTCTTGCGGCTCAGGTGAATTACAGGCTGGTCTCAGAATCCATTACCGCATTGTATACTAAACAATGAAGTCATAAATATTTGTGTGATTTAAGAATCATCAAGGAAGGAATTATCGAAGTACTTCATTAAGCATAGGCCTAAAGACTTTTTGAAAAATGATTTAATGCGTGTTCTTCGTTACGAGGCCGTGGATCGATTGATAATTCATTTCCTTTCCTTTTCCGTATTGAGTTTGACATCCTGATGCCAACTGTGTATAATCGAGGACGCCTGTACACTTTCTCGCCGCGTGAGTCGTGTCGAGCCTTCGCGTGAAATTGCCATGGGGCTGCAATAAATCGTGGTCCGTATGGAAGGAAAGGCCCGCAGAAGCCTGTGAAATTTGAGTAATATTAGGAGGCCACCGATGATTCAGGCAACCCCTGCAGCAGGGAAACAAGGAGACTTTCTTCTCGCTACGCCGTGTCGGATTTCCAGCCTGAGAAAAATATTCGCGACACATGGGACCAGTTTCCTTTCAGACTGATCCATCATGGTCCTTCAACCCCGAAACGGCTTCTCGAGATGCCCTTTGACCCCACCCGAAACAAACACAGCCGACTTTTGAATGGCTCGTAAAAACGACGACTGGCGTCTGGTCTATGGATCTACGGGTTTCAAAGCGCTCCTAAATTACGTACCCCCATATAGGAAGGGATAAATTATCTTCCAGGTCCGTGAAATCTGCCTCACCCAGTTCCCTACACGCTCGGCATACAACGAATGCTTTGAAATTGGTCACGCGCAAATTTATGCGCGGCCCCACCGGGCCGACTCTTGTTTACGGACGGATGGA